TCGGGCCGGGCCGCAGCAGCTGGGGTCGGGGCCGCCTCCGAACGCCGGGGGCGACTCTTGGGCTGAGCCCGCGCGTTGTGGCCGTGGGACCGCACCTTCCTGTGGCCTCGGTACGCGGCTCCCAGGGCAGGGGAGCGTAGCTGCAAAGCCGGTTTAGTGCCGGTGTGTGTTTTCTGTGGAGAGCCCCGGAGCGCACATGTCGTGGTGGTGCCTCCGTCGGGCCTGGAGCGCCGTGACATCCGTCATCTGTGGCACCGGCTGAGGCACGGAGAGCTGGGGGTGAAGCGACGTGTTCGGGTTATGCAATGTCTACAAATCCTCTCCCTCTCATGTATTCAGAGAGCACCGGGAAGTACGAAGGAGCATGTTCTTGTAGTTGAGGTTTTACGTGCAGAAAAAAAATTACTTAGTGTGGAGATGAGTAGCCAGGTAAAACGTGGATGGTGTACCTCCAGAAAATCAGAAAAAGTATGATGTGCTTCAGCAAGTTGTCAATATTTAAAAAAACCAACAACTACCAACAAACTCAAAAGTTCAACTGTCACTAGGAAATAAAATATATTTGGACTAAGGTATCACAGAGAACATTAAACCACTGGTTGTTTTTGAGACAGTCTTAATAAAAGGGTGGCTGACATAAACATGAGCCATAAAAGTGGTGAGCAAGGTGTTGGCTTAACTGGGGCAGACTAGCTGGATTGTATTATACTGTGTTACATATGTACCTTTTTGCTCCCTTCCTCTTAATCCTTCTTGGCACCTTTGTTGCAGGTAACATCCTTTCATATGTGTTCGTATTTTCCTAATGACATGAAGAAGCATTCCTTGGGAGCTGTATTGGTCCATATGCAATAACATGAGAAGAACTAGTAAAAATGGAAGTAGGGAAGGAGATTAAATTGTTTCTTAATAATACTGTTCATTTAGATAAGGACATTTCTGTTATGCTTTTTTGTATATGTATAAAAGCAGTATACTTTTCCATAAGTATTCATGGCTTAAAATCACTATGAGAGAAGGGAATGCTGATTCTAGAAAGAATAATAATTTTCTAGGTCAAACTTGTATATTTAAAGCATCGGGGTCCATTTTTTCTGAGACTTTGTTTTAAATAGAAGGTTAATTATACAAATAAACAAGTTCATTGTTTCCGATGCATGATGTGTACAAAATAATGTAAAATGACTGAAATAGATAGCTGACTTCTGTCCCTGTATTTTTGTCAGCCTTCTAGCAGTGGCCGAGCTGCAGAACTGCTCGCCAAAGAGCGTGGAACAGTGCCTGGGTTTATTGGCTTTGGAACATCTCAGAGTGATCTAGGATATGTTCCTGCAGTTCAAGGAGCAGAGGAAATAGACAGCCTTGTGGATGCTGATTTTCGGATGGTCTTGCGAAAACTTTCTAAAAGAGATGTCACAACAAAATTAAAAGTGGGTGTATCCTTTCTCCCTCTTAATATTTTTTTATTGGAAAACAATAACTTTTTCTTGAGGGTGGGAGGGGAATACATCAAAGTAGCTAATACTAATTTAATATGGGTAGATTTTCTAGAACTGTAATCTGTAACAAATCTTGGAAGACTTATAAAAAGTTCCATCATACAATGCTGATGGAGCATTCATAAAATTAACTCTATAGATGCTCAATTGAAATAAACGAATTGATTTTATAAAAAAGAGTTGGCATGTTTGGTAGAAGCTGGTAGATTACAGAATTTATCTGAGTTTTTAAATCATGCTCTTGATGTCTTGTTTTTAGGCTATGCAGGAATTTGGAGCAATGTGCAAGGAAAGAGAAGGGGAAGTTGTTAAAGGAGTTCTTCCTTACTGGCCAAGAATTTATTGTAAAATCTCACTAGTAAGTATTTATGTATCAAAAAGAAAAACTTCTTTGCATGCTTTCTTTGAAAACCTCTAAGGCAGTCTTCATTGATATATTTAATTTTGTTGAAGTTACTGACTTTTTCTGGGAAAAAAACATGAAAAGTAATGTTCTAATTGTGGAGAGGTTTCAGTGTTGACAGTGGGTGGCATCTTGAACTGTTTATGCCTGAACTGTACTTGCTGGATCGAGATAGCTGTTTGTTACACCTTTAGGTTAAAAAGATGAGAAGATATTTCTTACGAAAAATGCTTCTGTGTAGATCCCAGAATGGCTGAAGAGAATGTACTGTACAGTTAAAATAATCATAAATGGTAATGAGAACTGTGTAAAGTATATATGTAAATGTGTAATAACATTATACAAACTTATAGCATTATATAAAATTTATTATATTATTTTATTATTATATAATTAATAATATTATTACATATTTTTATCTAGGACTAATATCTGAGCAGA